ACCCACCCACCCACCCAGTTCGTTGTGGTGCTGGTCACTCTTGAGATTTCACACACTGCTTCTTAGCACTTCCGTTTCACTTCAACCGAGGATGATCGTGATCTTGGCGCTTTACGCTTTATTGTATTCGTGTTGAAGCGAGGCGCCATCGCGGAATCGTTTTAGATGGTTGGAACTGGATCTGCCTTACAAAATCCTACTCCTCCTTGGAAATGAACGGAACAAATCATGTGATTTGCTGTAATTTGGCTTACGCTTTTGACGTCTTTCCTCCTAAAAAAAGGAAACCACTTCCTCCGTAATTCTGCTTCTTTTGGGAAGGAAAAGAACGAAATATTTTGTAACTCTGGGTATTCCCCCTCGTGAGTGCACTTTTCTTTTGAATGAGACTTTTTGCGGCCTTGCAGGCAGGCGATCTTTTTTTCGCTGTTGTCACAGCCAAACACGGGGCAAAACTTCCACGTCATGACAGACAATGTCGTTTTACATGTGAAGTAGAATGAACCGCCAGAAAAATAACCAAAAATGATTTTGCTATTCACATATGCGTGATTGTAACGGTTTTAACCCGAAATCGCCTCGCTTTCGCGCCCGCCCGCGATACTACCTTCAGTGGGTAACTTAACCGCGAAAAGAGCTATTGTGAAGCAACCCAGGAAGTTGCAGAGAAACCCTAGGCATGACCTCTCTGATACGGTTTCAACGATTTTTCGCACAGCTAACCTAAAAAGAAGGGAATTCTCTTGCAACCTTTTGCTTCAAATTAAAAAACCATGCAACATACCTCTGTTTTCTCGCTGATTATCAAAGGAAGGTTAGGCGAATGCGAGTTGGGCACGAGTGGCTGTTTGACACTATCTTCAATGTATCCTTTGTGTGTGTTGATGGCGTCATTTAAGTCCTTTTCACCTTGTACGACATCAAACACAATGGTGATGTCATCGCACGGCTGAAGTTGCGCCTGTTGAGACAGTTGCTGTTAGCAGCGAGCTGAGCTTCCAAAGATGTTAAAAGAAACTTGAGTTTATTCGTTTCAGTTTTCCTTGAACACTACAGAACTCCATAGCGACAAATCGAAATGCAAAGTAACAAACTAGGGGAAAACAATAATCATTACAGCTTATCTTTATAGTAAATAGGCTATTTCCAAGTTTCCTTTTGCCTCCGTTTGAAGTGAAATCTTCGAGCGAGACCATTATATGATCTGTTTCACCTCTACATTCATCTATTCTTATATGAAAAATTTTGCACGACTAGTTTTAAAACAGAGACAAAAAGCACACGGAAATGGCTGTGCTGTGCTGTGCAAGAAACTTACTTTTTTGCTATATTACCTTTTTTCGTAATTTCTGAATTCGATTTACTACTTCTCGTGCCACATCCTCAGATAACAATGACTGATCCAGAGTGACATCTAACAGAATAAGCACCTTGGGAGAGAAATACATACTGAACATCACTCTGACTGGCGCTAATCCCTGCATAGATTATCACTGATGGTTGGTTAGTTCAGGTGGCTCGGCAGGATTTTTCACCCTGGGACGCTGTCGTACCCCTGACAGGCTTCAGCATTGCTTCAGTGAAGCTAAGTGATGGAATAATACCATGTTACAAAGACAAAGTCAAATCGTTACATGCACTGGTTGAACTATGTCTAAATATGGTCTTCAATACGTTATTCGAAGTAATCCCACGAAAATCTCGGGAAAGTTAAATGACGAAAAAGACAGTTTTTCATTTTCGCCCAAAATGTTTCATAAACCGCTCTAAACTGAACAGAGTGCGTGGCAATCCCTACAGATACTCTTTGTAAATTAGCACTTTGGGTAGCAGTCACGCTCGTCACACAAACTACAGCGGGGTTCGTAATTGTGTGATTCAATCATAAACGGATGTCGTGAATATACAGAAGTGACAATGAGGTATGAACACTTAAAGAACTTAACAAAATCTCTTGCTCACTTCCCACTAATATATCTTGACATGAAAGGAATAGTAATCAGAATTCCCAACAAGTGACTGACCTGGCCATCAGAGTGTGCTTCATACGCAGATGGAGTGGAACCATTCTGATCAAAGGAATACTTCACCTAACAAAGTGGAACGTCACTTATCGACTGTCATTGTTTTTATAAAGTTTCAATGAACACTGAACAAATAAAAAAACATTTGGCCAAAGAATGATTTAATTCAGTTACTGTTAAGTTATTTTTCCACCTTCAAATCTGTTCCAGATAGCAAATGACCGGCTACCATCAACTCTCCTTTCTCCTGGAAATCTTGTACTTCCTTGTTTGAAAGATCTGTCAAAATCCACAAACTGTCAGTCAAACAACTACACAAAACAATCAGTAAAATATGAAATTACATGACCAAACTCAACCAAGCATTCCACTGACTGAATCAATCTCATGGTTTGACTAACACAGAATACCTTTAATTGCCTGTGAGACTTGTTTGAAAGCACCCTTCAGCCTTCGTCCTAAGGTCTGATTGTCAGGTTCCGCCCTTAGTTGCACGCCAAACTTGTTTTTGTCTGAAGACACAGTAATCTTTCTCACATTCAGCTCCTGAGGATAAATCAAAACTCTATAATAACAAAGAGGTCTATTTGACACATGGAAGACACGTGTAACAAGCGAACCTAGTACATAGCCTAGTTTATAATCAGTCTCTCTGTAGTTCAGTGGTTACACGCCTGACCAGTAGGTATCTCTGAGGTGCGGGGTTCGAAGCCCAAACAAGACTCAAGTATTTCTTTCTCCCACGTTCGTTGCATAATAAACATTTTATCTTTATCAAGAAGAGTTTAACTTTTTCACCCTGATTGACTGAGATTCATTACAAAAAACAAAGTAAAACAATCTCTTCTACATCTAAAGTAAACGTAGAACAAAAACAGAAGCGTTCGTAATTCAGTCTGTACCTGCTTGATGTAGGTTTCAAGAGATAGCACATCATTCAGGCTCTGTTGTTGCTGGTGAATAACAACCAGCTCAGGGAGGGGATACTGGGGAAAAAAAAATATGTTACAGAGGAAACGGTAGCGAGTGAACATAACTCCCACTACTTTAGTGAAGTTTAGGGTTAGTTGCTTGAAATTGAGACAAGATTGAAAGAGTAAAACTAAAAAGTAATAAACCAAATCAAACATGAACATAAAATTAAGAGGGACTCATTCATCACTGCAAAATGAAAACTGGTTATACAGTGGAACCCTGTTAATACGGTCAACAACGGGTCATGAAAATTTGGCTGTTGTCAACGGGGTGGCCGTATCAACGGGGCAGGGTCAAATTTTCATGACTGGTATAAATTGAGTGACAACTTAACATACATCACAACTGTTCTTCACTAAACACCTAAAATGCAGTATAATTTAAAGAAAACTGAAACTTTAATCAGTACTTACAACATTAACAATCGAAAGATGGTTTGGGTAACCATATAAACAGGGTAAAAATATTTTAGAAGGATTATACAGGTGGGGATTGGGGATTGTGGCCGTCGGCCGAATTAACGGGGTGGCCACATTAACTGGGCTTTCTTGTAAGAAAATGTATGAGCGTTTCGCCGGGACAACAAAAGTGACCGCATTAACGAAGTGACCGTATTAA